GGTCAGGGGGGGAAAGAAGAACGCTCCTTTGTCTCTTTATGGTCTGAAAGTGGCCCATGGAGGAGCAGGCGCACGAACGGCCGTCGCCATCGACGACCAGCCCGTCTTCTTCGCGGACGCCACGAAGAAGTACGGTCGGATAATAACGAGTTTCGCTGTCGTCCCTTTCGCCCTTCGCGTAGCGCGAGTCGTAAACTCGACCTCGCTGCCAGGCTCTTACTCTCCTCCCTCTTCGAGTTCCCCCTGCGCCGAGCAACGTTTTTCTTCGCCGCTCGATGCCGGACGATCGCGTCAAATTTTTATTGCGCCAACCGGACTGTCTCGCGCGATCGTCCAACCTTATACGGAAGAGGGTGACCGAGCAACCGGTGAACTTCAGGATCGAAGCGAAGAAGTAGGAAGTTCGGTTAGATCTATCGGCGGTGGTTGCAGGATTTTTCTAGGCGTCAAGAGTTGAAGGATTATCGATACGTTACGTACACTTGGACAAACGAACGCTGGGAATTCGATGCTACACTGTTCAGTAGGTGACAGCGTTCAGAATCCAATTTTCCGAGGTTATTAAAAATTCTAGTGCAAAATATCAAATTTACTGATAGGTATCTTCGTTACAATGATACGATACCTTTTCGGCCGCCCTCTTGTTCGCGGTAAATAGACCTTTTAGAAGTAGACACCAAGAGACATGCTTAATTCTACTTACTTCTAACCAATAATGCAAGAAGTATCAAGTTCACACGTAAAGTATTGCAACAACAAATATTTCATGTAGGTTTACGTCCGCCGGTATTGAGACACTACAACGTTAATAAAAAGGAGGATTTTAAACGACCTCGGACGGATGGATTGAAATATAAACATGAAAATGGTACGAATATATTTAGTGTACGCGTAAACAATTTCTCGATCGCTTACTTAATTCGTGCTTCTTCGTAGCGTGTTACGAGCAAATGGAACCAAGGGATTCGATGAGAAAGTCTACTCAAGACGTGTCGTACCCACACGACGTAATGCAGGCGGAACACAAGGTGTTCGAGCTGGTTGAGACAGTACGAGACTGTTAGAATTTAATCTCTCTTAAGGCACAATGTTTGTGTTGAAATAATATAATGTGATATTTATTAAACAATTATTACAGGAATTATAAGTTTCTTGTGGAATGTACACAGTTGGCTGTTTATTCTCAGACTGACTGGCTTAGTGACCCATGGCCCTTGAAAAGGTTTTGAATCCCACTCTCTATGCAGTAATGAGTGTGATCAGTGTAGATGCTGTGTGGCGTCACATGTGCCACAGAACCTTCTAGTAGCTTCTCCACGTGCCCAATGTTCCATCCATATTCTTGCGCTTCTTCCGCCGAATTCTCGAAAGAGCATGCACGTGCTAGCCGCCGCGGTACGTCTCAGGAACGCACGCTAGTGGGGATATCGCTGGGCAAGAAAGAAAAGAATCCGTTCGATCGATCACCTCATCCGTATGCGATTAATATCGTTGTATTCCAACAGAGACAAAGACAACTAAAGACATCACCTGCTAAGATATACAAAATTACGCTATTATTTGACGTAATAAAACACAGATGAAATAAAATCTACGACGTGTTGCACGTGTCATTCAAACATCAATTCAAAGATTACGCATATCCGTCCGTGAAACTTCTCAGCAAAGGAAATCACTCATCGTGTAAATTAACAGCTTCTGCAACAACCACGTAACATCGAACGAGCATCAACCGGTAGCCAAGGAACGCTCGAGGTGGAAAAAGAAGTGATATTTTTTTAAACGCGTGGAGCATCGGCAGCGGGCGTAACGCAATATTCCGACGGAGGTATTTTTCCCCGGTGATCGGTTAAAAGTCGGCCGCTGGGGGCGGCGGCGCACGGCGGGAGAAGACGCATTACCAGATTGGCTCGCGCCGCTCGCATTCACCCAGTCTTTTACATTCATGAAGCTTTTATTCGCTTGATTTGACTATACGCTTCGTATTCACGGCTCTCGATTTGATTTGCATTGATTGGAGTGCCAGGTTTCCCGATAACCGGCTGCGCCCCCCTTCCGTGCACGTCGCGCGACGCCACCGCCGGTAATATGGCGCGTATGTGCCATCGTCCTCTTCGCAGCTAATTCCGACCGTGGAAATCGCTTGCTTCGAGCTCCCCAGGCATCAGAGTGTGTTCTATTAACTGAAATCTTTTGCTCGCAGACGAAAACTAATTATTCTCTGTCTCCTTGTATTCTTAGCTTCTTCGCTCGCGTAAATTGCTTTTGGATTTAACGAAGCATACGTAGAAATTCTTTCATCGGTGGTCGATATGTTTCTTCTTCGCACGGATCATACGATTTGAAGTAATCTTCGGGGTGACGTTGGATCTTCTCTGTGTCTCCAGTGTCAACTTCAACTTTTTTTTTTTTTGTAGAACTCCATAATATAACTTTGTGTGTTAGAAGGGGGATAAGAAGTTGAATGGTTTTAAGCAAAAAGTATTTGCTCCGTGTAAATAACACAATGTGTATAAATAACACAATAGGCCACTATTAGTAACAGCTTAACGTTAGAGTACGCAATAGTGCGGATAAGTAGATAGAAATATCTTTCGAGTTACGCGCCGTTATACGGGTTTAAGTTTTATTTCGTGCTCTTTAATCTCGTTGCTACTACCGATCGAATGTTCCACTCGGCAAGCAACAGAAATTATCGTAAGTGGCACTATCGTAACGGCGACTTTACGTTTTTACGTAACGATGACAGTATTATGTCGATGTGAGCGGCGAAACGATGATTAATCGATCGCCCGTCACAGATATCCCGAATTCCTCAGCCCGTCACGGCTACCGCGGCAACAAAAAAAGAAAACCGATGAATAACCTTTCAACCGACATAATATTTGGGGGACAAAGCCACCCTGGGTGCCAGCGTGTTCATTAATAAAAATCATACGATCGTTAGGGCGAAGGTATTTACAATTCGAGATCGAAGACTCGCCCTCTCTATCATTTTTTATGGTCATTTTTTCGAAACGATGGAAATCGCGTAGTATATAAAAGGAAACACGAATCGAACGAAAAAAATAAATTTCCCCTTTTGATATTAGTATGCTATCTGATTTACCTGCTTAGATAACTTTATTAGGTTTTTCACACAAATTTACTGCATTAATTTTTCGAAAAGTCGTTCTTACAGATAATTTTTTCGATCTGAAAGTGTTTACTTTATGCTTTCTTCCAAAAGAATTTATTTAAAACGCTAAGATCCATTATAAATGCACCCTGGTATGTCACCAACGAACTAATACATCGCCACCTCAAGATACCCACAGTCAAAGAGGAAATAGGAAAATATAGCGATAGATATAGCAAAAGAGTCGACAAACATCGAAATTACTGGACCCTTAAATTACTTAAACCGCTAATTACTGGACTACTTGATACGTCGGACCAAATACGCAGGCTGAAGAGACACTACCCGTTAGACTTAAACACCAGATTTAATTAGATAATTATATTAAGTAATATTTACTTATTTACAACACTTACTTAAAAATTATACTTATCTATAATAAGTATTAACTTATTATAAATATTTAGCCATGTCACTGCACCACGCTAGAAAAAATTACTGAAAATTCTCAATGCGAAAATTGATTGTAAATATTAATAAATAAAAAAAAAAAAGAATTTATTTCTCTTACAACCCGTCCTTAAACGTTTCTAAACTTTCTACCTGTAGGCACAGTAGCACCTGCTCAGAGGAACACGGTTTCGTTAACTTGACGGCTGCAACCCTCGCGTTTCCCAACTACACAAAACACGAAACGTCATTCGTTATTCTCAAACACTGACAAAAGTATGCAGCTCCGTTGACATCCACCAATGTCCTCGATCTCATCTTATAAAAAATGAATCGAGGCAGCTCGGTGACCAAAGTGGACGATCGACACACTGGAACAACCAGGAATCCCATTTTCTCTTGGGGAAAGAGGGCGCGAGAGATCGAGCGCGTTTAATCGTCGCACGATGAGTCTGAAGATTCTTTTTTCTTGATCCCAATAGAGTGTAGGGGGATAGACCGAAAAGCTAGTGCAGCTGGGAATATGTCGGACGAAATTGATTCGTACGCTTCGCGGTTCGCGGCGATCCAACGCGGTAGATCATTCATCTCGCGGCTCTACTATTAGTACAGTTATTTATGGTGAAAAAGAGTATAGATCGTGGCGACTATTATGCATCGCGGGTCCTCCGGGTGATTTATGTGCCGCTGCAAATTGCCGCTTGTCCTTTGTGAGACCGAGCAAAGCGAGCCTGATTAAATCCTTTCGAGCGGCCGTAACTCAGCCGCGTTTAGAAGGTGGTCTCCGTGATACAATATATGCCGTGGACACGGGAAAACGTCGGTAAACTTTATGATTATCCTGCGGTCGAGCAATTGGAGATCTTTAGACTTTCACAATGAGGGCAAATGCTATCGAAGCGAGGAGAGTGAACGATATATTTTTATTCTTCTTCGATTAACCCTTAACTACGAACGTCCGTATTTTTGCCGTTACTACAGATCCTACTTATGTATATTGAATTTAAATATGTACACTGCATATATTTATATTCGTTTAATTTTCCTTAATTATGTTTAATTAAAAAATCTCATATTATAAAGGTACAACGATGGATGAAATCCAATTAATTGGAAATAATTTGTCATTTTGTAATGGAGATAATACTGAATTTAAATGCAGTTTGGAACAGGAGCGCGTTTCGTTTAAACGAACGATGCTCCTCCTGTCTATTTCTATTCATTCGATCCATCCCTTTGACCCTTTAAATAAATCCAACCTCGCAAACCTCTCAAAACTCTAAATCGCGCGCTTCAAAAGCTCTGCGCAATTATGGAAATTGTGCTCCTCGGTTTCCTTGTTAGTTTCGCCGATTTCGTTCCCTAATGATTTACTCGCGAATGTGGCGAACGTAGGAAACAAATACGAAAAGAACGCAACAAATGAAAAGAATTAACAAGGACACTTTGGAAGCTCGTCCTTCTTCTCCGCGTCGTTATCATCGAGCATCCTGAAATGGAAGGTCGGGTATCGCCTGAGTCTAAGCAGTTCGTGCTCGGTTTGCAGTTCGATCAGCTCGGCGTAATTATCCTGCAGCTTCTTGATCAGTTCGGATCGGTGCATCACCATCCGCAGCTTCCTCTCCGCGTGCTCCCGCTGCCTGGCCTCGGCGATAAGATCGCGCCGGTGCTCCATCTCGCACCTCGCCACGTTCATCTCCAAGATCTGCCGATCGAGCTGCTCGTTCTTGCTTCTGACGGCGGCGATCTCCTTTTCGATCGATTCCAGCCGAGCCTGGTGGTCCTCCAAGATCCTACCGAACTGTCTTTCCATTGTTGCGATGTCCTCGTCCAATTGCTGCGGCGTCTTCTCATCTGGAAGTCCTTTGGCCTTGCGCTTCAGGTACCGTTGCATCTCTTTCGTCACCGTTATCGATTCCGTGAACTTCAGGTCCTCCCGCAGGTCCTCCAGACTCTTCTTCTGACACTCATGCTCCCATTGCTTCAACAGAGTACCTAGAAAATTGTCGCGTGCAAGATACACAATTCATACGTGACATGGTCCATCGTGTACAAAGTCACAAGTTCGGAAATGCCTCGTATAGAATGATATCTATATTTATAGGAGATGAAAAGATGGAAAAATGGAAACACTCGTATGCATATGTAAGTATACGTGCGATAAGTACGTATGTATATGAATATACCAAAGTGTTAGGAAGACAGTACCTCTCTGAAAGCTCAACAGACGAGATAAAGCCTGCAGTTTACACTCCCCAGCAGCTCTAATCAGTTCGTTGACGTTTTCGACAGCCGTTTTCGAAACAAGAACCGCGTTCTGCGCGTCGTTTACGTCTCCTTCGAGGCGGACCTCCACTTGCCCCATCTTCAACACCAACTGTATCTCCGCGTCCAACTCCTCGATCCTCCGACATTTCCTAGTTTCGATCAAACTCTTCTTCATATCCTCCACGTCGGCTTTGCACTTCTCTATCTTCTGTTCGAATCCAAGGATCACGGCCTCAACGTCCGCGATCTCCGCCTGCTGTCCCTTGATCTTCAACTCGAGATCGATCTTGGTACGTCGCAGACGAATCAAGTCTTCCCAGTGGGAAGTTTCTATGGTCACTGGAAGAATAACTGGTCGAACGTCCAAATGATTCAAGATCCTCAGGTAATCTTTGCATTCCGATGGCAAGTAAACGCACGGCAATCGGGAGACTACGTGACTCGCTAAATCGTAGAGGTCGGAAGCCTCGAGATTTTTCGTATTTATTCTCGGTCTGCGATTGTACTGATGTTCGAGGAGCTCGACTTGCAATTTGTTCAGAGAAAAGAATTCGGATCTGAACTTTTTGGCTATAGATTTTTCTTTGTTCACGAGGAATCCATATTTAGCGACCATTTCGTCGTTAACATGGCGAAAACTGTTAAGATGATCGTTTAGTACTTCCTGATATTGTTCTTTTTCCACGATTTGCTTCTTCAGTTTGTCCTCTTCTTGCACGGCCTGCATTCGACGATGGATTAGGATCAAACCGCGGATATATCGTAAATTCAACTGATTTATCGCTGCTTCGATATTCATCTTGAACTGTGAAATATCAGAATTATACCGATATCGATCGATTTACCTTTCTCTCTCTCTCTCTCTTATACATAATCGTTCCACTTTTTTCTACCGATAAGCAAACTCACGCGAAATAGTTCTAACAATTTCCCATTGAACTTGTCAATCCCATCATTCAAAAGCTCCATGACCCTTCCATACTCCGCCTCCAACATCCTGTTGTACCGCTCGCGTTCCTCCATAAGGAATTGCACGTCTTTCTCGTACTGTTTCACCGCCGATATATCTTCGGACGTATAGTTTTCCGGCTTCTTCTCGAGCATGCAAGCCGGCTTGGGGATGTCTATCTTGATAGTGTCCTCCCATCGCACCTCCAGCACGCCGTCCATCATCGCCATTAGGGCACGCTCGCGAAAATCATCAGCCAGCAACAATAATTTGATTCGTTCTTCCTCCGCCGCCTGCTTGTCCAACAATTCCTGCTGCGACGGGGAAACGTACGGTTTCGCCTTCACCTCGTGATCCAGCACCTTGATAATGCTCTCCGGCCTTTCCTACGCGCGAAAAAGGAAACTGAACTGCCCGCGAACTTGCAGATAAAGATGACGCCTCTGAGAGTTTACGAGCCTCTCGATCTATGGCGATTATTAAGCGATCCACGATGTGATCAAGAATGGTGAAGAATAGACGGTTCAATTTGTCGAAGAAAGCACGAGTTGCGAGAAGTTTATACAATTTTATCATTTCGTGTCACTGTGGTATACCATATAGTGAACGAAAGATTTTTTGAAAGTTCCTTAATTGTATAATGGCCTTAATTTACAAATCGACCGTTCTAACTTCGAACATGTAAGAGGATCGTTTGATCGATTGATTTACGAAAATTGAAGTAACTCAATTGATTGATAAATGTTCAATTTGTATCGAATTATCTTATAAAGTACGATACGTTTACCTGCCAGTGCCAAACAGGATCAGCAGGGATGTGTGGCACGTGTCGATTAAACATAGTCCTTAATTCCGTGTCGATATAACGTATCCTGTCGATCCTCTCGCGTATCACCTTCATCTCCCTCTCCTTTGTCGCATATACTTCATCGAATGTCCGGTTGAAGAAAGCGCGAAGTTTCTTGCTGTCGTGCAACAGCAAGTGATTGTTTATCATCACTTGGCCGAATCCGTAATATCCGATTTGAGGATAATAAGGTGACTGCTCGATGTATCGGTGTGTGGTCGTACCTTTGAAAGAAAACGAAGGCGTTAAAGTAACGGATGACAGAATTTTAAGAAAAGACGAAACGCACACAAAGGAGAAAAACATTCTGCTGTGCGTTAATTTTCGATAATTTTCGATAAAATTTACAATTTTACTCGAAATTTATGTCATTTTATACAGATCGATACAATCGAGAATAAATTGAATTTTCACTATAAAACACAATTGTAAAATCTGATATTTTAATTCTTTCGATACGAGGAATAACTATACTTGTGTAGCATTATACGCTATACTTATTTACCATTTAGGTTTCTAAGGAATTCAGTTTCGTCAGAACTGTCATTAGTTCAATTCGTATTATTCTCTTTATTAAAGAAAACATCTACTCTTGCCTTGCATCGCCCTCTGTTCCTCCAAGTCTGCCTTGACAATGGCTATCTTCTCTTCCTCCAGTTCCTCCTGATCGTCATCGTTCTCGAGCAATAAATCCAATCTTCTCTCGTGTTCATAGTACACCTTCTGCTTCTTATGTAGCTCGACTTGTAGCTCTTCCGCGGTATAAATCCTCCAAGGTTCAAACTTATCGTTCTCCAAAATATCATAGGCGGTTTTCTTGCAAAAATTCGCCCACTGGAAGTGGTATTTTTCGTCTGTCGCTTCGGAGAACTCGGGATAATTGGTAACCTGTATGGTACCGAAAATGGCGAACAGACATTTGCCCAGAACCTGTTGAGGGTCCCAGAAAACCTTGTGAATCCATTTTGACACTCTGCGCGTCTCAGAGATATTGTGCTCGAGCTCCAAGCGAAGATTTTCACAGATGTCGCGGCCTGCTTTCAATTTCTGATCACGGTTTGTGAGATCTAGATCGAAGGACGACACAGGAAGTTTCTCTATTTCCGGACTGGCGTCGTTCGTATCCAGTAACTTTTTCACCTTGCCTCGTAGGACTTCGAAGTCTGCCAAAATTGCCGCTCTTTCTTCCTTACATTTTTCTTCCTCTTCTTTCAGCTGTATCTCATCCCTCCAATCCGACCAGGTCTTGTCACCCTGTTTTGGATCGGGGAACTCGTACTTTGGACGCGTTAATAGCTCGTAAATCGTAGGATCGAGGCTGGCGTAGTCCGACTGGATCTTTTTCTTCAGCCTTTCGTAAACTTCGTATTCGGTTTTGTACAGCGGTTCCTTGGAGGAGGTTACTCTTGATTGCGAGAGATTCTACGCTGGAGGAAAGAAGGGGAAATAATTGTAGAAAGAGACTGGAATTACATTTATTATCGTCTCTAAGAAGACGGGGAATACGATGTTCAGGTAACGACGAAAAGACTGAAAAATTCGTACGGCACTTTACGTACACATTGGCTCATGAAAATTTAAATTGTTCCGATTGTAGCAAATTAAAATACTAGGTATAATTCCACTTTATCGTATTTCCCACTATTTGCCTAAAAAATAACAACGAAACCAAAAATAAAAACCTTTCTTTCTCCAACGATACCGACCAACGAGCCATCGTAGCCCAAACAAACGATCAAGTCGCCTTGTTTATTCGCCATAGCCTTGGTCGTACCCAAATCGGACCTATGGTGCGTCATGATATGCGCCACTACTCGTCGTACCGTTTTATCTCTGATCAAGACGCATCCATCGAGAGCGGTGGTAATGATCCATGATCGATCGACGTACAAATTAGCCAGCTTAACCTGATGTCCCGTCGCTAAACCGTCCTCCATAAAGATTTGCTTAAAATCATGCACCCTCTGCACTCGTAATTGACGCGTCAGATAAGGAGATCCTATGAGCAACATCGGATTTCCAGGGACGTGATAGAGAGTACGATACACGCCAGGAAGTTTCAACGACTGTAGGGGATCGGTGATCAAATTTTGTTCCGATGACGCTTCGTATAGGTCCACGATCTGTCCTATGTTGTAATGTTTCGCGCCCACGTAAAGGACAAGGACTCGCAGCTGCCTGAATCCTTCGTAGATCAGAAGATCCGTGATCATGCGACGAACTTGGATCAACGTTACCGGGGTGTACATCTTGTCGCGCTGAAGACTTACGCAGTAACAGTTGCCGGTTCTTTTCTCGCCAGCGACCATGAATCTATAGTTTTCGTGATGGTATCGTGAACTCTCCAAGATTAAACATGCAAACTGCTCGTTTAAAGAAGAAACGATTTTCAAACAAATACGCTACCTTCCAGTGTTTGAAAACTTGATTAAATCTATCGGCGTTCTTTGCAGCCTCACTCGAGCTGCGATCCTAGGTTCGATCGGTTCGACAAAGGTAACGAATACCACTTCGCCGTTTTCCGTTCCCAACACGACTAACGGAAAATCTGGATGTGAAACTTGACAAGTAATTTCGCTTTCAATTTCTGGATCGATGGAAGATAACGGTTTCCCTTCGTAACACTCGACGACGATCAACTCTTTCTTCACATCGCAAGTCACAACGAGATGATGGCACCAGGGATAGATAAAATCCGCGAATCGATAGGCAGCGCCGTAATTGAGAACCATAAGAACTCTAGGAGCCGCATCGTCTTCGGTGAAATCGATCTGCATCAAATATCCTTCTAACGTGGTGTAGAAGAATCGATTTTCGTACGGATGAGTCACCAGAACGTACGGCCTTGTTTCCGACTTCACGTACCATTCCCTTCGCCACGAACTCGTTCTCGGGTTCCTCGTGAAGAAACGAATTTGACAGAACGTCGTTCGTAAGATAATACCATCTCGGAACCAGGCGACTATCGGCAATTCTACGTCCGTGCAGATGTCACATCGTTGGGAATACACGATACGATTGATGCTACTTCCATCTAAGTTGCTGAGGAAGACGTGGCCGTCGACGTCTGCGATGGCTAGCAGCGGTTCCGTAGATGTTGGACTCCAGTCTGCCCACAGGATCGACGTATCTCTCGGAAGCTTTATCTCGTGATCTAGAACACGAAAATTGGAATAATTTACTTGGAAACTGAAGAAACTTAAAGTAACGTTGAGTGAATTTTGGACAGTTGCCATTGCCAATGATTCGTCGGCTATAATTTTTCATAAAGTCACGTTACACTTTTACGTATGTCCAAGAGTGACTCCGTAACTTTCTTGGCTCGATTCCTTGGACAGGGTAGAATTTATCGATCGATCGTTTGATCCTAATAAAAGATCGAAGTCGATCGAATTTAACGATAAGAAGCAAAAAAACGCTCTTGCCTTTCACGATGGCGACTTTCCCAGCGATATCCACTTCCCACGTGTACAACTGTCCGCAAGTTCTGCCCAGTTGGCCGACAACGGTGGTTCCGATCTGAGTTATCTTCAAGATCTGTCCAACCTCGTCGCGTATAAAAGTATTCACGGAAATAATCTTCTCTCCGGTTCTCCAATTCCAAATGGTCATCATAAAGAGAGGATACGATCCAATGGAAATCAAGTGATCTCCCTGGGCAAACGCAGTGGTTAAGTATCCGGAAGCGCATCCACCGGTGCATTCGGCAATTTTCGACATGGACGGGTAAGAGAAGACGAGGATTCTCGGTTGAATGATCTTCTCCGCGAAGGCGAACACGGACAGTGTCTTGTGAGCGGAGAGACACCGGACGCCGTCTCCAGTGTCGTGATTCCAGCACCAGTAAAAACTCTGTTTCCTCTGACTGATGTTGAAGAACACGATGAGAATACCGGAACACCATGCTAGAACGTCCTTCGTTATCCAGACGATGTCTTCGAACTTGTTACCGCGTATCCAAGCGGGCCTCCAGTTGTTGTGATTCATCTTCTTAGGTAATCGACGTTACAAGAAGCGGATAACCTTAGAAATCTCTGTCTAGTTACGCAAGTTTGATAAAAGCTGATTCTTGGAAAACAGTCGAAGAAGCATACGACGACTTGACTACGAGTTTAAGGTCGGTTCACAATGAGCTGCGTTTGCGAATCAGGGAAAAAGCGACTGGAATTCTGTCTTTAACAAACATTTACGATACAGCGATACAGTCTAATGGTCTTTGAGACTAAAATAGAATATATAGTGAAATATTATGTGTCAAGAATCGGGAGTATTAGGAAAGAATAGCAAAAACGCGGAGAAATGGAAGACGAACGGTGACGAAAGAGCAAACGGTTGGCTCGAATGCTTTGCCAGAAGCCAACGGGGTCGGCCTCGCAAGAGGAGTTTGGCAGGCTTAAGACAAAAGGTGATTAGGATACGCGCAGTCGATGGTGGTTTATAAAGACCCCCATAGCGTGGCGTGATGAGGTCAAGCAGCGGGGAGTCATTCGTATACCAAGGGCCGATCAAAAACTTATCCTTGCCACGTGATATACTGCCCGTGGATACCTGCCAACCTCTTTCTCCCTCTTTTCCTCCCTCTGTTCGATGACCTGATCCTCTGGCTGCCTACCAAACCAAGTCGTTCCACCGTCAGTGATGGACTCAACACGTTTCGCATCGGTTTCCAACCTTCCATCCAATCAATTTTCAAAATTTCATCTTTCATGGTCCAGAACGTGTCAATTTTTCAAACTTTCGCAGATTTTACTAGCTTTGATTCATTGAAACTTTTTATAAATTTTGGACGTTAGGGGCTACTATTCTCCGAATAAATTCTGATATATTTAAAATAATATTCTATGCTTTTTAACGAGAAATTAACGGTTTTAGTATATTTAGAACTCTCGGTGCTCGCCGGACATTTCTTCTATTTTCTTCTATTCTTACGTAGAAGGTCAAAGACCTTGCGAAACTAATTACTCGAAAATCTTAAGTAGAGAAAATCGAACATCCATCACTAGCAAAGTATCGGTCGAACGACGATATATGGCGTTTCTCTTGCTCTTCCACTTTGGAGGATCCATTGGCTCGAAGATGCGTGGTCCGCGCGGTTCGCGTTGCCCGAACCTGTGGCCTTACCATTAAATTGACGCCCGCTGAGACTCGTATTTGCATAACCCGACGCGATACGACCGATCCTATCGACGTCCCCGCGAGTGGCCGCCTCGTCCGCGGTTCGCGCGACTCGCGTGGGAACCATCCTTTATCCTCTTTCTCTGCACCATCGAGCAACCTTGTCTTTTCCCAAATTTCATACCCATTTGATACTTCCAGTAGAATGTAGATCGCAGTTACGATTAAGTGTAATACGTAGATATCTTTATATCGAAGCTTTCCCGAAGATAAACTATAGCACCTGCAATTCATAGCGTTCGAATAGAATCGATAGCATTGAAAATAGACGCTTGGTGCTTTCCCACATCGTGTTCATCGTAGAATTCATATGCGTGCAACAAGAGAATCGGTATTATTATTAGTCGAAACCGTTTATTTCGCTATTCAGTGCGAAACGCGTTAAAAGACAAGCTCGTAAGGAAAGAGAGGGAAAAGGGTGAAAAATGGAAGAGGCGAAGGATGTTCTCGTTGGAAGGTCCGACGATGCACGCAGCAGCACGCGTGCGTGCAATGGCCATCGGCGTTCCACGGAGCCAGGGATGCGATGGTCGCTGGTACGGTACGCGTCCGCATGCGGAGTGTGGGAACTTGGGGTCGAAACGGAGAGAAACGGCGCAAAGGAGAGTGCGACGAAAGGATGCGGAGAAGGAAAAGGAAGAAAAAGCGCGCGCGCACCGTGAACCCAAAAGAAAACGAGAGAAGGAAAGAAAGAAAGAACGAAGAATCGGACGAAGAAAAATAAGAGGAAGACGTGGACGACGACAAAGAGGACGAAGAGAAGAAGAACAGGGAGGAAAAGAAAAAAGGAGCAAGCGACGGCGAGTAGCATTTAATCAGAGCCCACGAAGTGAAGTGCACGGTACAAGTGTATGTATATAGAAGCGGTGTATATGGTTCGGTTAGTTTTTGCTTGGGAGGTTGCTTGGAAATTGGCGCCAAATTAGTAAGGAGGACGAGGCGAGGCTCACGCTGCCTTGGGCTGCGTGACGCGAGACATTAAAAGTAACCTCTGCTCTCTCTGCTACACCCTCGTCCCTCCGCCAAATCCTCTCTGCCCTCGGCTTTCCCTCTTCTTCCTTCTTCTTTCCTTCGTCCCTTCTTTCTCTTCTGCTTCATCCTTCGCCTTGCCGCGTCTATATCCTTTGAGTTTCGTGTGGCTCGTTTCTCGGCCGACATCGCACCACCTCCACGACTTAGAATCCGCTTCTTCTCCTCTCTCCGCGCTCATCCTCCTCCTCTTCTCCTATCCCGGTCCCGGTAATCACGGCCACTCGAGCAGAAGAACCGAGAAAAAAGAAAGGACAAAGAGGAAATCGCACTTGAGCCTTCTGCGTTTCTTTCTCTGTCCCTTTTTCTCGGCCGGTGTATTTCTTGGTTGTATACCGCTTGAGAGAGGGGAGCAGGTGATAGAGGCGGTCGTTGTCGAAAAGGGTATCACGCCAACGGTCCCCAGGAACGCTGTTCGAGCGATCGTTCTGCCACCATAGCGCACGAAAGCCGGCTTGGGACGGGACCAAATGCTGCTGGAGTCTCTCACGGGACTCCGAGCCTTTTTTCGCCGTGAGAACCTGCGTCGGAACTGGAGCACGGAACCGGGTCGCGCCTCTTCTCTTTCGCCTCAGTTTTCAGATACCGCACTGGCCAAGGGTGATCGATCAAAAATTTACAGGATTGCACGGTCAAAATAAGCATTAAGAAAATCGAGCACTGAAAGACCCATCGGTTTGCTCCGGTTCGGTTACATAGTTAATAATTGCTACGAAAAATTCATATTTTCCGATTACGTAAGTTTTGCTGTCAAATTTTTACTGGTATCCGGAGACTTTTTGTTTTCGAATTTTGTTTTCGTTACAATAAATATATCGCGATGAGCATAAATAACCCTCGAAAAAGTAATCGTTCTAAATACAAACGCAACGCTTCCACAAATAATCGATCGCCAACTCTTACGCTAGAAAAAGCAAAAGGATCGAAGCTGCGCTAACTACTAGATTTAGATCTACGGCACCAGCCAGACTAACCTCAATTCCGCAGAAGTCAAAAGAGAAAAGAAAGAAAGACAGCAGAAAGACCATCGATCTCTTCCGTTAAAAGCAGCTGCGTTTTCGCAAGTTGCATGTCGGAGCGGCCGGCCGCAGATTATAGATGCGTCCCGTAGCGATCACAGACAAACGTTTAAATCGCTAAACATCGAATTAGACGCGATTCCTGAGCCGGTTCGTAAAAAATAATAGCCAGCCGCGGATAGACGCGGCTAGGCTGCCGACTTTCGGCACCGAGTAACCTTTCCCTCCCTCTTACTCTTCGACAGCTGCCATCTCTCCTGAAACACATACCGCCCCTGCTACGCCCGTTTACCAGGATCTTACGAATTAATTCTCAAAGATCCGTAATCTCTGTGATGATCCGATCAATCGAAACAGCGCGTGTCGGTGGTCGCGACGTTCGTTTTTTCTGAACGTTCACGGTTTTTAGATAGTCGTTAGACCATGGAAATTTGGATCTCCCGGTTGACTACGTTGTTCACGGTGCCGTCACGCTGTGATCGCGAACACGCTATCCGCTTGATCGGCGCGTACGTTCTGGCTATGTGATTTCATATTTACGCATGGAATATCAGTCGTTTTTGCATTACTTTATTTAACGCTTCATCATCGAAAGCTTCCAGTGTTCTTATCCTTCCTCCGTCTCATCCAAGTATCGAAAAAAAGGAACTACTACACGCGTGAATCAAACGACTTTCACCACCGTAATTCCACTCGGCTCGATAGACATCGACCGACACCATGATGCTCTTCCTCCAACCACACCAACTCCTCTTCTTACACAACTCTGGTCCGTCAGATCAGTCCGTTCGAAAGACTCTCGTCTCTCGTGGGACAAACGTTCCAGTTCCCCGTTGCTTGACGCGGTTACCATCGAAGCGAGGTCGATTAAACGCGTTCTCGCACACCATCACCGGCACCGTGGTGGACCACACACCGAGGCCGGGTCACTCGAAGTCAGTAACATCAATTAGCATTCGCGAGCGGCCGGCCGGAGATGGCGGGTAACAGGCAGAAAAAGAGGACGCGGCGCGGCGCGGCGCAGCGTAAATGGCCGCGGATCTATCGTCGGGAGCCGCTGGACAAAAGACCAGCCGTGGACCATAGACTTGCCACGATGACATATGAGCCACCGGGCCTCTTTGTGTCCTCTTGAATACCGCTTAAATTGGGCAACCAGCCGTCCGACGCTACTGAATATCGCCGTTGATACCAGCTACGCCGGCTGAAACCGTTTCGCGATTTATCATTCCAAGGGGAATCACCCGGTCACGATCTAGAGGATCGCGCTTTGATTCGCATGAAAATTTTACTTATTACAGAGGTCTGTCGCCGTTGCGTTAACTGCCCCGTTTTTGCGATCGGCGTTAATCGTTATGGGCCAGGTGGTCGCGTCCTGTTGAAAAATTTCACGGTCTTCGGCAGAATTTCGGGAGCAGATTTTGATCTGTGCGAGACTTTTAGAAAGCGTGGTTCGGTTCATTGGTTATTATATACACCTTGTAAAGATTCGTTTGATTGGATTACAAACGTGGGTACTTTGCGGTATTTTGAAGAGGAATATGGTCTTTTCGAATCGAAGTTTCGCTTTGGATATTTTGTACTAACCGTATGCAATAAACGTTGTAACATTGGTAATAGATACTCTGTTGCTTATTCTGTAATAGGAACCAATAATCGAAATATTCAAAATGAAGTGCACTTACATATTTAACACCCATTAAGACAAAATACACGTCGAACAATATTACTGCCATGATTGTAACGCATTGATATAAACGATAA